CCTAGTTCTCAGAAAGCTGTCTTAAGCTGGCACTTTCTCTAGGAGTCGCCTTCCTACGTGCTCTGTATCTGAGGACTATTTTGGATCAGTACCTGGGTCTGAATCTTGTTTTGGCTCTGCCTCTGCCTCTGGATGCAGATCAGTGTCTAGTTCTGCTTTGGTGATATCCAGAAGTCTCTGTAAGTGGGGGCCTAACTTTTGGAATGAGTTTCTGCCATTCCTGCACTGAATGAGTATTTGGTTCAGTGTTCAGTGTTCCCTTACCTTAGCTGGTCTTGGTTCAGCTAGGAGTATGCAAATTTAGTCATGGAGATAAGTGGTACCAATTTATGGGTGAAGTACCTGAGGTAACCCCAGTTCCAGGAGATATCATACAGTCTCTGAGCTCACAGGTGTGTTTCCAAGATTAATCTTAAAGTAATTACTTTGACTCAAATAAGCCAAACAAAGACACACATTATGCTGTTTATATAACATTCTGGCATGTTGGTTCATGTCTGTAATTCTAGCACTTGGGAGACTGAAGCAGTAGTATTAAGTTGAAGACCAACCTGAGCTACATAATGAGTTCCAAACCAACATAATCTATACACCAGACCCTGTTTCAAAAAAAAGAAAGAAAAGAGGGAGGAAGGAAGGAAGGAAGGAAGGAAGGAAGGAAGGAAGGAAGGAAGGAAGGAAGGAAGGAAGGAAGGGCGAGAACAGGATAAAATGAAAACTTTAAAAACTAAAAATGCAATGTACAGTGAAAGAACATAGATCAGTGTATGTCTAGAAACAGATGAGGTGAGTGGATTAAAAATGGTACAAGGGAAACTTCTGGAGGTAACAGATATGTTTATATCTTAAATATATCTTAAGTATACACTTATACTTAAGGGTATACAATAAAACTTACTAAAATGTACACTAAAAATACACCCAAAATACAAAATAACAGTAACTATTAAAAGATGAAAAAAAAGACAATGCTAAGAAAATGAATTGGCAAGTGACAGATAAAAAGAAACCTGAAAAAGGATTCATGTACAAGATATATAAACAACCTCCAGAGCTCAATGCTCAAGGAGAAAACAATATTCTTTTTTTTTAATGGGTAAAATAATTCATTAAAAAACTAAACAGGGCCCCTTTGATAAAAGGGGAGGTGTGACTCAGTGTTAGAAGACTTGCCTAGCATATGTGAGGCCCTGGAGTCAATCCCTAGGACCCTCCCTGATCTCCCCCAAAAAATCCTAAATAAACAGCTAATAAGTGAATGGAGGGAAATTAACATCACCACGAATTATAAATTAAAAATACTTCATACCAACAACAATTACTAAGCTTAAATGTGTGTCAGCACACTGTATGAGTCTGTAAAGCAACAACTTTAATAATTTCACATAAAATATCCCTGACTTAGAACTACTTAGTTATATATTTAAATATTTGTTCAAAATAAATGAAAACATGAATTATCCTTTAATCTTAGAGAGGAATATTACGTAAGATTTATTCATAATTACTCAAAACTGAAAAAAACCCACATGTACATAAAAAGGAGAATAAACAAATTGTTGTACACACACATGATAAAACAGCATCATCTAATATAAAGGGACGCTAAAGCACACGACAACACAGATACCATTATAAAGTTTTCCAAGCAGAAAAACCGCGTACTAAGGTCCATCTAAGAGCACACGCATTCGTGCTCGCGCTTGCTCTGAGTGCACTCACAGACTTTTCAGGACTGGTGAGACTAAGCAATGGCAAAGATCCTACCAGTGCTTCCCTCTGGGTGGATGGTGGGACAATTAGAGATTCTCTGATAAAAAGCAGAATGGAGCTAACTAAAGTCATGGAAATATTTTATAGGTTGACAAGGTTATAAATTATATTGGCATATGCATTGCTCAAACTGAGTATGCTATACACTAAGGCCTACGCATTTTACTAGTTGCAAATTATAGCCATTAAAACTGTATTATAGTCAAGGCATAGTGGCGCACACTCAGGACTCTGAACAACAGGTGAATTGCAAATTTCAGACCAGGCTGGCTACTTAATTCTGAGGCCAGCCTGGACTACATGATAAAAACCTTGTCTCAAAAAACACAAAGGAAAGAAATATATACATAGAATGATATTATACAATATACACAATGGCCCTTTCACAAACTTACATCTCCTTCCTTCCTTGGCAAATGCTATTATAGTCATGTCATGGTTCATCAAACTGAAGAAGAATCTGAGTTTGTGTGTAAGCTAAAACATTCCCCGCTATACATCTCCATCCCAGCAGCAGTGCGTAATCACTATGGTTTTTTGATCAGAAGAGGTTATATAAGAGGGGGGGGGAGGGGAGAGAGAGAAGGAGGGGGGGGGAGAAGGGAGGGAGAGGGGAAGGGAGAGAGAAAAAGAAAGAAGAAGAAGAAGAAGAAGAGGAGGAGGAGGAGGAGGAGGAGGAGGAGCCGGGCAGTGGTGGCGCACGCCTTTAATCCCAGCACTCGGGAGGCAGAGCCAGGCGGATCTCTGTGAGTTCGAGGCCAGCCTGGGCTACCAAGTGAGTCCCAGGAAAGGCGCAAAAGCTACACAGAGAAACCCTGTCTCGAAAAACCAAAAAAAAAAAAAAAAAAAAAAAGAAGAAGAAGAAGAAGAAAAGCTAGCTGTTTGTTAATATACTTCAGTTACCTTCAGGCCTCCAAAGTAAATAGCAATATTCAATAATCATACATTTCCTTAAAACTACTTTGAAAGGAACATAAAATTGCAGTAGAAATGTTATAAAGTAATCTTAAAGCAATTAAGACACCTGTAACTGCATCTACATTTTAAACAGCCCCAGAGTATTCATAAGTCCTCTCAAAAAACATATTTTCTATGGAAGCATTAACAAAAACTATAAAATGTATTTGATTTGATTTGAAAAAAAAGTAAAATACTATCCTAAAGCATTGATAGGCTTTCATTCATGCTATACTTAATCTTTATAGATGATTCAGAATCAACTTGAAGTTTATCTTTAATGGAAAGACTGGTCAAATGGATTTGTTATTATGATTATCATTTATAGACGTTTCAGTTGCTTCTTTCACAAGTCAACTAGATTATGTCTTAAAATTTCCTATTCCTTCCAAGTATCTTTTCATTATCTAAATATGATTGGCTGTAATTTCAGGGTCATTTAGTACTTTGAATTCCACATCTAAAGTTTTTGCAGGTTTCTACTACTTTTTACTTACAGGTACAGGATTTCTGGCTCTTGCCGAGTACATACCACTCACTTTCCTTCAGTAGATTTGTGGAGACTACTTGAGGCCTAGGCATTAAGAGAACCAGCCCCAGAGACCCCATGTCTCCCTAAAGCACTGGCCAAACATTGTCACTTGTAACCACACTCTCTAACTTCTGGAGGTTCTGGAAATTTAGTCATGCCAAATATGAACAAGACCACCACTCCACCATGAGCTCTCACAGATGGGATTTCTTCATCTTGTCCTGTCCCCAGAGCCAAGGATTTCTTCTGTCTCATGCTTATCCTCAGTCTGAGTTATGTTAGGGTCCTAGCTTTCATAAACCTTAAGCACACATGCAGTCAATAACAAGCTTTATAGCCAACAACCACGAAGAGCACAAAACTTCTCGCTATTTATCTATACACCAAAATTGTGCCTATTCTATACAATAAATAAAACTAGATTGCTCATGTCCTTTGAGATTGGCCACAAGGAATCTCAGATTTGAGACATAATTACAACTAAGACAAATTGATTACATGTTATTAATTTCAAAATTAAATTAATCTTAATAATTACAAAAGATATAGGTTACTTCTATCCTATGGACTCAATAGATGGAATGTTAACTGAATCAGCATTTTTTTTTAATTCATCAAGAACAGAGAAAATATTTCACAGCTCTACTACCAATACCTAACTTGATAACTCTTGAGTACTTACTAAATAATTTTTTAATGAATGAGAAAGAAATATATTAAAAATATTAAATGCTACTACCTTTAAAATATAGTTGAATGGGAACTTCATAGTAAAATTTATTATCATAATTTCAGTAATAATGTCAAAGTAAAAAAAAAATACAATCTTTGGTCTAAGAACATAATATAGTGGTAGTGTTTCAAATGACCCAAATAGGTACAGCAACAAAACTAAGCTCCCATGAATTCTACTACATTAAGTTTACCCACCTACTTTATCACACCTTCAAGGATATAGGCACTATAAATGTACCTATTACACCCGAAGCATTATACACTGAAAGTGTATAATGAAATAATGATCCTTTTTAACGATAGCACTACTTAGCAAGGAAAAAAAGCATGGCTCATGGCCATAACACCTTCTAAGTATGCTATTTTAACACAGCAAACTCAGCCAGCGAGATGGCTTAGAAGGTAAAGGTGTTTGCAAAAGCCATGTGATAGAAGGAGAGAACGGACTCCCATAATTCCTCCTCACATCTCCACATGCACATATGCACTCACATTCAACACACGCATACATAAATAAATAAATGAGAAATGTAAGTTTTAAAAGATTACAAGGATAATAATGTAATGAACTATGCTGACTTTTCTCAAAGGCCCCTCAGTCAAAGTTCAGCTTACTACCATTTCCTTACACATCTGCAGAATGATTTGAATGTAACATAACTTTGGCTCAGATTAAAACAAATACAAGCACTCTAGTCAGTTCTCTAACATTTTCCTCATAAGATTTTTTTTAAAAGAACAAAACAAAAACAGCTTAATTCTGCATCCTTAATAATACATAAAAATAAATCAGAATTTAAATTTTCAAAAGTGTCTCATCAAATCCCACATTGTTTAACCTATAAAATAAAAATTAACAGACCAAAAAGAAAATGTAGCTCATCATCACAAAGACAAAAATCAACAAACTCTGAATGGGTTCTAGCAGATAACTGATACCAAGTGAGCAAGTGCCCTTCTAGTCTGACTTTTAAGCAGTCTCAGGTGCTGCATGTAATCTTACCTGGGGAGGATAGTTGCTCTCAGAAGACCATCTGGAAGATTGATCATTTGGTTTATCCACTAAAATGTTCCTGGAATAAAGAAAAGAACAAAGAAGTGAGTGATGAAAATAGTAAGTGAAAATCAATGGGCAAAACCAGGAAGAATCCACCATTATAAAACTACTGAAACTAACACAGTTATACAATGTTTGCAGTTTGAAAGAGTACAGCATATAAACCATAAAAAGAAATACTGGGGGCTAGAGAGATGGCTCGGCTTAGGTTAAGAGCACTGGCTGCTCTTCCAGAGGTCTTGAAGTCAATTCCCAGCAACTGCATGTGAACACAACCATCTACAGTGGGAATCTGATGCCCTCTTCTGGCACAAAGCTGATGGAGCACTCATATATGTTTTTAATTTAAAAAAAAAAAAAAAAAGGTAGTACAGAAAGAATACTGGGCCAAGAAAGAGTCAACCTAGAAGTATAAAAGAGGCTGGAAAGGAATAGAAACAAAATAAAGACTGTATTATGAGGCTATAACAAGAAGTATAAAATAATACCCAGAGTCCATACCACTAAAAATAACCCTAATACAACCACAAGAAAAACATCTCACAAACCCAAACTGAGAAACTGAATAAAATACATGACTAGCATTCTTCCAAACACTGAGTGAAAAATAAGCAAGGATGGAGAGATGGCTCGGTGATTGAAAGAACTTGTTCTTGCAGAGGACCAGTGTTCAATTGTCAGCATCCACATGGAGGCTCACAACCATCCATGACCCCAGCTCAGGGGATCTCACATGCTCTTCTGACCTCCACAGGCACTAGACACACATGTAGTACACAGACATACATGTGAACAAAACACAACACACAAAAAACAAAATAAATAAATCTTTAAAACTTTAGAAAGCAACAAACAGCCGGGCGTTGGTGGCGCACGCCTTTAATCCCAGCACTCGGGAGGCAGAGCCAGG